AATGATGGCTAAATTTGTTTTCTCCCCCTATCTAGAAGCCTTTGAGAGGGAACTGACACTGATTCTAACCACTCCAACAGCTATCAAACTACCTGAAAGCAAATCCTGACTCCATCACTCTAGAGTCCAGCCTTGAAAGACAAAGAAAAAATGAGGAGGAACCCAATAAAGGGATGCTTTTGGAAGCCCTTGTCAAGAAATTCCAATAGACTCTCATATGAACATTTGAAAATTGCCCTGTTCTGACTTTTTTCTAGTTCCCTGCCTAGAACTCGTAATGTTAATTACTCTTGCCTTTACTTCTTCACATCTCCTATCCACAATTCAAGGACTTTCTTCCCCCCCTATTGATAACAGTTATGCAATTTGGAAGTCTTTTAGATAGACCCACTGAAGGGGTACTCCAGTTGCCTTACCCTGTGTCCCTGTTCAGCATGGAAGAAGCCAGAGTGGTCTGTGTCCCAATTCCCTATTGGCAATTTGGGTAACCCCTGCAGAGGATGATGTGATATGACTAGGAGGTAGGAATTGGCTAGGGAGTTAGGGTAAAAAGACCCCAAAGAAAAGTAGCCAGTTTCTTGGCTAAAATTTACAATGTCCTTGGGCCTCTTAGCAACATACTTCATTCCAAAGACCAAAAATGTTGAAAGTATTTGGGAGCTTTTACCTAATCCTTAAAAGATTTTAGTGTTACCTTTTCAGATGAGGGGAATATTGGAGTAGCCAAAATCCCCATTTAAAAAAAAATAAAAGAAGAAAAAGTACATGAAGTTATCAGAAAAAAGTGATGGGGAGGTATGGGAGGAGTTGGAGGGGAGGGAGTGGCATGGATTTGCTCAAAACACCTTATATGCGTGTATGAAATTCTCAATAAATTATTTTTTTTAAAAGAAAAAGACCATTGATATGTCAGGGTGGCAGTGGCCATCGAAGGGAGCAAGGGGACCAGTGAGGTGACAATGCCAGCAACTCAGGTGAGAAACGAGGCAGACCTCAACAGGTAGCAGCCCTGTGAGTGAAGAGCAAGACTCGGATTTGGGGTGCATTTGGGAGACAAAATGTGCTATTTTATAAGCAGTTACATAAGGCTGGGGAAGGACAGTAACCTCCGGGTCTGGGTTGATTGTGCCAGAGCAGGCACCTGACTCCAGGGGAACACTGGAGGAGATGATGGGCTATGGTTTGGGATATGATTTATGAATTGGTGCCTTTCGTCCAGTATTTCAGAGTATCTTTGAACAGAAGGATAAGGACTTGGCTTGTCACCATGGCAATTATTGGGTACCTTAATGAGAACTGATTTGGCAGGGTAAGGAGGATAAAAGTCACTTGGTCTTGAGTAAGAAGATAGAATGCTGCCTTTCCTGGAGGGCTTATTCCTCCTGGTGCACTCCTGTCCTGGTGCCGGTCCTTGTGGAAACCTGGGGACATCACTGACTCCTCCATCTTTTTATATTATGTATTCTTTTGATTTCCTCTCTTACAATCTCTCAGTATTCCTGGTTCTCCATACCACCTGCCTCTTCATTCTGGCTTTCCAAGATTTTCTGTTTGACTTCTCTCAGAACTGGAGAATCCTTTAAAAACAGACATCTAATGACTAAGTGCTCTGCATGACCTGTCAGATGTTTGGGGGTTGTTGGTGTGAGCCATGAAGCCCTCCACTACTGGACCTCTGAATTCCTGTTTGGCTCCTTCCTTCCTTGCATCCCATCCAGCCCCCAGCTTCCCAAAGCTGCTGTGTAATACTCAGGTTGAGACCACATGCTTCCCCCCTTGCTCTTAGTGCCCTGTGTTCATCTCTGGCAAGTCTCCCCACAATCAGCACTGCCACTTGGTAGTTCTCTTTCCCTGAGGAGTACCCTCAGATTCCTTTTTAAAAATGATTTATTTTATTTATTTGTGTATGCTTCTCTATGTATGGAGATGCCCATATGTGTGAAGGTAGCCAGAAGAGGGCATCAGATCCTCTGGAGTTACAGAGGTTGCAAGCTGTCAGAGGTAGAAGCTGGCCACTGAACTTCAGTCCTCTGAAAACTCTGAAAAAGCAGCAAGTGCTCTTAACCCCGGAGCCATCTCTCCAACCCTGTCCCCAGTTTCTTGAGGAAGGGAACCACATCATATTTTATTATATCCATGGCAACCAGTAGAGTAGCTGTCATGAATATATAAACCCAGTAAATAAATGGACAAGATACCGATTCTACAAATGATCTTGCTATGAAGGGATATATAATTCAACATGTTTAGTAGATGAGAAAACCAAGGTTTAGATTCTGAGTTAGGAAAGAGTCAGAGAGAGGAAAACAAACAAAAGCAGAGGCAAGAGAGAGGAGCTCCAATAGTGAAGGGGTTCATGGGTCACAGAAAGAACTCCCAAACATTATCTGGTGGATCATGTAGAGCACCTAGTCATTAGATGTGCTAGAAATTCAATGCAGGTGAATCAACAGCCTGCCCCTCACCCTCCTGCTCCTCACCCTCCTGCCCCTCACACCTGCCCCTCACACCTCCTGCCCCTGACACTTCCTGCCCCTCACAACAGCTGCCCCTCACAACAGCCCTCACCACCGCTACTCCTCACGACTCCTGCTCCTCACAACCCCTTCTGGAACAGGTTGGCTTCAGGATTTTCAGAACCCCAAGTTATGGCTGAGATGCCAACCTCCTCTTCTACTTTGCTTTCAATGTGAAATGTCCTCATAGGCTCATGTAATGGAGCACCTGTTCCTGAGCTGGTGATAGGTGATAGGTGATAGGTTCCAGAAGGTTGTGGATCCTTCTGGAAAGGGGGCTTAGATGGCAGACATAGGGCTGTAGGGATGGGTCTTCAGGGTTGAAGCCTCTTACCCAAGCTCTCTGCTTCTTGATCTGCCAAGCCATCTCCCACTCCTGCTGCCACAGCTGCTAGCGGCTCTTGCTATCATGCATGAGAGACTATGTCCCCTGAATAGTGAGCCAGATAAACCCTTCTTTCAGCTGTTTCTGCCTGATATTCAGCTGCAGTGATGAGACAAGTGACTCAGATACCTTCCTACAGGCATTCTTGCCCCAATCCATAGCTGATACCTTATCCTCAAGGGATTGGAACTTCCACACTGGTATACACTTGGCACCTGGGTTGGGGTGGATAACAGGCCACTTCTGAGTTGCCCAACGAGTGCACCAGGAAGCTGGCAGCCACTGCTTTGTTCTGCCTCAGATGCCACAAGTCATGGAACTGATTGGGTTCACTCAGTTGCCTCCTGCCTCTTGCCATGTTAAGGAACAGCAGAAGGCAGGGCCTTGATCTTGGACGTTTCAGGGGAATTTCTGTTTTTCATATATTTTCCAGTGAAGTGTTCTGTTATAGCAACTCAGAATGGATGAAGGCACCGAGCCTTCACACCCCAGCAGGGTGGAGAGCCGCTGCGGAGCACGAGTTCTCGCCTTTCAGTGTGATCAGCAGTCTCCCTAAAAGGCAGACAGGAGCCAGGGCAGGGGCAAGGGTGGAAGAGGAAGCCAGGCAAGGTTGGCGCACTAGAGGATGAAGTCTGGGGAGGGGTGCTAAAACTACCTCCTAGGAGTCAGGAAGCAAAGCCACACAGGAGCAGAGGACTGCAAGGCCCAGCACTCTCTTGTCCCCTTTGCCCTTCATTTACAGAATGCAGGTCAGAGATAAAATTCCCAAGACTTTCCATCCAGTAACTACAGAACATTAATCCGAAACTTCTGGGTGCTGTCACTGTACAGCCGCCCTGGCTACACATGTCCATGCTGCTGGTCTTGTCTCTTCCTCTTCCCTAATATCTTGGAGTGGCTCACATACTATTTTTAGGTAAAGAAAGAATCCTAGTGTTCTGGCTGGAATCACCTTTAGGCCTCTGTCTGGCACACTGCCTTCAGTGCCAGGGCATGTTTACTCCCTGCCCTCGCCTCCTGTTCCTCAACCTCAGTCTCCTACAGCACTGAGGTCTGTTTCTACAGCACTTTCTCCAGGAAACATTCCACAGTGCCTCATTTGTTTGACCCCACAGCCCAAAACTCAAGCACAGGAGGAAATTCACACGGAAGGGCCAGTTACACAAAAAGAAGACTGAAGTCAGCACATGACTTGACAGTGGGACTCTCCACCTGCCTCTCCTCAAAAAATGGCTGAGGACTTGCATCTCTGTCACTGCCACATCCCTAGTCCTGTGAACACACTTACCATATGGCGGTAATTGCCTGGGGTCTGCTCTCTCTTTACTTGCCCCATGAGTCCACCATGGAATCTGGGGTTTCATTCTTTTTGGAAATTTTTTATTTTTGGCCTTTTTTGAGAAAGAGTCTCCCTGTAGCCCCAGCTGGCCTGGAACTCGCTATGTAGTCCATGCTGGCCTTGAACTCACAGAGATCCACCTGCCTCTGCCTCCCAAGTGCTGGGATTAAAGGTACGGATTTCATTCTTAGCAACGAACACAGTGCTCAGCACATACTAAGTGCCCAGAAAACTTTCTGCCTAGCTTAGCATAGTGTTGCATGCTGTAGTCCCAGCTACTCAGAAGGCTGAGGTAGGAGGCTGGCTTGAGCCAAGAGTTCAAAGCCCAGCCTGGACAACATATTGAGACCTCCGTTCTCACAAACAAAAAGGAAAAATATTTATGACAAGTCAAAAAAAATGGAAGATGTGAAGCTCCAGTTACTTCACCAGCCTAAGGTGGTAAAATCCTGCATCCTACAATCAGCCTCCCCCAACTGGACACTTATTCTGTGAAGCAGAGGCTGAACTAGAGCTCCATGGGGCTCCTAGAAGATCCATGAGTTGGCATGGGTAGAAGCTTAAGAACTGAATGCATAATTTTGGTGATCCACGTCTAGTCTGAGGAGCGATCAAGAGTCTTAACTATTTTCAAAAGTATCTTTACTCACCAGAATGAATGAATCTTTGCTCTGACACAGTGGCAATTAAAGCATATTCAGTGGTAATTAAAGCCCATCCCAGGAAGAGAGGCATTCAGCATCATTTGGAGACTTTATTTGGTAAGTAAATTCTTAGGCCCCACCTCAGCTGCTATAGCACGTGGGGGTGGGTACAAGCTGCTGAAGAAGCTTTGCAGACAATTCTGTTAAATAGCCAAGTCTGGGGACAACTGAAGATCTGAAGAGGTTAGAAAGTGGGGACAAAAATTACAAAGGTGAGGAGAGAAAGACAAAGCACAGCAAATAGAAAAAGAAAACAATATTATAAAATAAGTCCAAATATATGAAGTGATGAAAATATGTGCAAACATACTAAAATTGCTAATTCAAAAGAAGGAAGCTTGGACTGACTAAAAACAATGGGACAAAGCATCATGTTGGACGTGGTAAATATATTCATTTCTTAATTATTCTTAAAATTGGATGGTAGAAGAAAGTCTACAAAAATCGACAAGTACCAACAAAAAGAACCAACATTTTCATAATGCTTACAAAGAGCTCTCACTGTATCATCTTGAAACTATCTAAGAATCTAGTCTGTTTATTTTAATTTCATTTTATTTTTGAGAACTTCATAGATGAGTATTGTATTTGCATTATTTCCATCCCTCCCAGTCCCCCACCAACTCCTCCTATATCTCCCACTCCCTCCCAATTTCTTGTCTTCTTTATCA